CCAGTCCAGTCTGTGCTGAAACGCTACTGTCAATCAAACTATCGTGGGCGGGGCCTGTTTTTGTGACGTCACACAGACAGGCATCTGAGATCAGCTCGATTCGAGAAAGGGGTAAATATTTTAGTAGATTTAAAAAAAAAAACACTGGGTGGATTTTTATCATTATAGGGTGGTTGTGTACACACACTGCCAACACACATTTCAGTTCAAACAACTTGTAAAAGTGCATGTAGCATCTGATGACCCCTTTAAGCATGCCATAGGTGTCCAAATACTCTATGGGGCCACTGTAGATCAAACATAATCAAACCTAACCTGAAGCTTTACATCTTTGCTTCCTCATAAAATGCCAATCAGTCCCACTTCTGTGATCGTCTATAAGATCTCACATTAATGAGGAGAAAATCCTAGGGCAAACAGGAGCAAAATTAAGTCCCTAAAAGCTTCATAATGGTGCCAAAAGATTCGTCTAGCCACAGGTTTTCATTATTTATATACTGAGGGTATTTTAGAGTTCAGTTCTACTGGGGAATTCACCGTTCAGTCAATTTACTGCAGGGGTCATTGGGACAGGCTACATTTCATTTGCCTCAGGAGCTACAGTAACACACACACAAACACACAAACTGAGATGACATGTTAAAGTAATGTCTCTGAAATAGAGCTGGGAGGTATGACAAATATACTGTAAAAATGTGCCAACCGGTAGAGATTTTGATAAACGTTTTATACTGTGGTCGATATATTTGCGCAAAATTTGTTAATGAAAACATTCCTTGTTTAAGACATTTTTTTTGATGTGGGAAAATGTACTTTTTGACTTCACTGATTATCTAAAGAAAGGTAAAAACATTTAGACACTTAATCTTATTATAATTCTGCCCAGATTTCGTATTCATAAATGGCAATTTACTAATAAAAAAATCCAACTTTATAAAATATCAATACCAGGTTATATTAAAATGCATATATTAACAGTATGTATATTAACAGTATTAATAAAGAGAGAGAGAGACTTTAAATATTTAACTGCTTTAAAAATCATTTAAACTATAGACTAAGTAATTTCTTTTGTACTTTATTTTGTTTTCTATATCACAAATGCCACAGATTTCTTTCCTTTCTTTTATTTTTATGATGTTTAATGTTTATATTTTATGCATATATAATTAAAATATTCAATATATTTAACTTAAATATAAAAAATATAAAA